GGTTTAGGGTTTTCCCCGCGGATGGGGTACTAAGATGATCCCCCCCCCCCCCTGTGGTGTGGTTGGGGGTTGCTTTTAGGGTTAGGGTTTAGGGTTCAGGGTTTTAGGGTTTAGGGTTTAAGGTTTAAGACTTAAGGTTTAGGGTTTAGGGTTAGGGTTTAGGTTTTAGGGTTTAGGGTTTAGGGTTTAGGGTTTAGGGGTTTAGGGGTTTAGGGTTTAGGGTTTAGGATTTAGGGTTTAGGGTTTAGGGTTTAGGGTTTAGGGTTTAGGGACCGTAGAGTAGACTTGGGGGGGGGGGGATACCATGGGGGGGGGGGGGGGGGGGGTGGGGGGGGGTGGGCCGCCCAGGCCTCTCGACCGCTGAACCCTATATATGATGTGCGGGTGCGGCCTGCCCCCCCCCCTCCGCCCCCCCATTGTACCCCCCCCCCCCCCCCCCCCTGTGGTGTGGTTGTGGGTTGGTTTTAGGGGTTAGGGTTTAGGGTTTAGGGTGCAGGGTCTAGGGTTGTTTTGGGGTTTAGGGTTAGGGTTCCCCCCCCCCGTGGTGTGGTTGTGGGTTGGTTTTAGGGTTTAGGGTGTTAGGGTTTTAGGGTTTAGGGTTTAGGGTTCTAGGGTTTAGGGTTTAGGGTTTAGGTTTTAGGGGGGTTGGGGGGGGTGGGGGGGTGGGGGGGGGACCATACCATGGGGGGGGGGGGGGGGGGTGTGGGCGAACGACGAAACCGGGGATCATAGATTCATTTCTTCTTTTTTTCTTTTATATTATATATATAGATATCTTATTTATTTATATTTATATAGCTCACCCCCCACCCCCCCCCCAATGGACCAACCGCGAAATGAAAAGGACAGGAAAAACTAGTTGTTTTTGTCGTGCTTTGTGTTTTTGCCTTATTTCTTGTGCTTTTTGTGCTTTTTCTGCATTGTTGCACTTTTCTTGCATTTTTTGCACTTTTGCACTTGTTTTTGTTTTATTGCACTTTTGCACTTTTCTGGCTTTTTACACTTCTTTGGCTTTTCGCACGTTTGCACTTCTTTTGTTTTGCATTCGTTTCATATACTGTGCCTTTTTCTATGCTTGTCTTATGCATAGAAATCTAAAAACCCAAAAATCCAAAACTCCAAAAATCCAAAACTCCAAAAATCCAAAAATCCAAAAATCCAAATATCCAAAAATCCAAAAATCCCAAAATCCAAAGTTCTCCGGACAATCTCCCAGGAAACTTTGGGTTTTTGGATTTTTGGATTTTTGGATTTTTGGATTTTTGGATTTTTGGATTTTTGGATTTTTGGATTTTTGGATTTTTGGATTTTTGGGTTTTTGGGTTTTTGGGTTTTTGGGTTTTTGGTGTTTTGGATTTTTGGGTTTTTGGATTTTTGATGATTTTATCATTTTTCGCATTCGAGGTTGGCTCATATTCGTTCTCATTTTTTTGAGTGAAAGGAGGGCGACCATTCAAATGTACCCTTATCAGAATTTCAAATGCGTCCTACCTACTCGAAACATGAACAGCACAACTAAATAGCATATTCAATAAGGTGTTGAATATGCTGTTTCTGTATTTGAGGACCAGGTAAAGTCTTGCCTATTCAAATCACTGAGAAAAGCACGTACATGGGTTATGCACAGGCCTTTGCCAAGGAGGCTTTGACAGAGAAGGCCTATATGTGTAAATATCGAATTCTGTGCATTTGCATTTGAAAGACCTGAAGTATCCTTTTTTTCAATAAGAACCATTCACCTGCTGTTCAAGAAAAAGTCTATATCTCATGAACACCCTAACTTTGCGATAACGATTAGTTGTTCTTATCCTTTAATTCAAGCTCTGAATATTGCATTGCCCCCCTGTGATTATTACAGTAAAGCCTGCTCGAATCTCATTAACGTCTTGACTACTCGATTGAAAACTGTATCAATAAAATCCTAAGTAGCCTGTACAAAAAGCCAATAAGGTTTTGAAAACATCCTACTCGAAAAGCCAACAAGAGGTTGAACAGAAGAATTCAAGACAGTAATAGGGCTTGGGTCCAATACAAGGCTAGTGAACTGTCCACTCTAAGACTTCCCCTGGTGAAGTGAAGTGTCCATTCCGGGTAGCACAGTTCACGTTCTGGTACAAGAACCAGAACATGTGGACAGTCACGGAGAGAATGCTGCGCGCTTTGTTTGATAAGTAGGGTTGAGAAGGCACGCCACTCATCGTTCAGTCCCGCTGCAAAGCAGAAACTCACCGACCTCCAAATTTTGTATGCAGATCCTGCGACCAGAGGCCACACCGCGAAAGTGAAAGGGTGCCAGAGTGCCTGCACGGGTATAGAGTAGTGGCAGCAATATAAGCATCCCAAAAGCAAAGAAAGCCCAAAATCCAAAAATCCAAAAATCCAAAAATAAAAACATCCAAACATCCAAACATCCAAACATCCAAACATCCAAAAATCCAAAAACCCAAAAATTCAAAAATCCAAAAAGCCAAAGTTTCCTGGGGAATTGTCCGGACAACTTTGGGTTTTTGGATTTTTGGGTTTTTGGATTTTGGGATTGGAAAAGCACATTCAAGAGGACAAATATTTGCAAAAATATTGCGAAATTAGAAGAAAGCACAAAAAAGTGCAAGAAGTGCAAAAAAGTGCAACAAGTGCAAAAAGTGCAAAAAGTGCAAAACGTGCAACAAAAAAAAAGGAAAAAATGCACAAAAGAACACAAAAAGCACAAAAAAGCACGAACAAGAAGCACAAAACATGCACAGGAAGCACAAAAAGCACAAAGAAGTGGACAGGGAAAGCATGGCAGGGTACAGTGTCTCGAGAACCTTGGACATGTCGATGTGGGTCCATTGGGGTTGGAGGTTGGTCCATTGGGGGGGGGGGGGGGCGACCATATATATATATATATGTGTATGTGTATGTCTATGTGTACATCTACATATATGGATATATAGGGCACCCAGCTATAAACAGCGAAAAAAATCAAGCTTCGGGCCGCCAGGCTTGCGCCCACGCCCATGGATGCATTGGCGACTGCCGAAAATTTGCATCCTCAGAGAGCACGGCATTGCACTGCCTTGCACTGCCTTGCACTTCATTGTGCAAGCTGCAAGAAAAGGCAGGGCTGGCATTTTCAGCTACTGCGTAAACTGCCACGAAGGATGCCCGCACTATCCCGCACTTCGCAGAAATTTCCCGAAACCAACCTTTTCGTCTGGAGCAGAATCCAACCACAGAACCCGAATCTTTTCGCGTTTCGACGCAGCACGTAGCTTTCCCGGTTTGTCTGTAAGTGCACCTGCTTTTTGTCTGTTTTTGAAGCGCTTCAAGGCACAAACCTGCTGGACAGTGCAGACAACATGGATGTTGTGATCACCTGCTTCGGACATAGACCCCTTTGAAGAATGGCAGTCGTCGAGTGACGAGGACGTGGGCTAAAAGTTGCTAAAACTACGTTATCTTCGTGTAACCTTTCGCAACAAGAACAACGGATGATATGAAGAACGAACCACAGAGGTACAAGTCTAGAGCCAAACCTCCGCTTACGCATGTCGATCACAATATAGTCATGCATACTCCTCTTAACAGCACCTAGAATACCCTGGTAAGCGAAGGCCAGGGCTTAACGAACAGGGCGACTCCTCCGTGATATGATTTGAAGGTCCATCCAGGAAACGTTCCCTGCAACTCATAGGATGGCATGTTCCATAGATAGTGCTAACCGGACATGACTGATATAAGTTCGCTTTGCCCCTGGACGCATGCGAACGGCATCGAAGCGGAAACAAACAATGCATGGTTGCACAGCAAGTAAACAGCACTTTTCTGCACAAAAAAAAGCCTGCATGCTCGGGCTGCTGCCCAGGTCGTCAGCCCATCCGTTCGGAACAGCACCTGGCCGTGCTCGCAACATTGCGCCACTTTTCTGTGCTAAGGCCGTGCCCAAGACTCTCCACTATGCACGTCTGTCGGGTTTCTCTCCTGTTGGCGAGGCCGCAGCCCAACCCAGCGCAGCAACAGGTTTCGTCGAATTCACTAATGCTTTCCCCGTGCAGCAACCTGGCAGTCGTGCAGTACCGGCATACCCACCATGACATGCTGAGTACCATTCTCCTCATGCTGCATCAAGAAGCTAGCAGCTAGCGGGGGGGCACAGCTGGACAACACCTGGAGAAGATCACTGCGTACACTGACATCATCGACAACATACAGGCAAACCTCGTGACACCAAGGAGGATATGTGTTTTGCCAATCGCTCCCCAACCACCTAAAACAATCTCACCCAGCAGGTGTCGAGCTCCATCACGTCTTCTGCTGCAAGCACTGGCTTGCAGCAATATATATCGAGACTTCCTTGCTTCGGTCTGCTGCTCGCCTATGTCATGATGTCCTCGGCCGACTCGCTCTTGGAGAACCGTGGCCGCTCCACCGCTCCTGTTCGGTGTGCTCGGCATGGCTATCCTCCGCTTCACATTCCGTCTGGTCAACGGCATTCACCTTGCAGGCTGCCTGGTTCCTGGATTTCTTGCGCTTTGCGTTGTGGTCTTTGCCGAAGTTGTGCAGTCGACTCGTCCTACGACTGCCTAGAGTGCACTCGGCACGGCTGCCTCCAACGGAGCGTGCAGTTTTGGGGTACTCATGCCCGTACAAATGGTTGGGGAATCGCTGCAAACACCAAACGCTCATGAACACCGCCTGTAGCTGCTTCCGGTTGCCTTCGGAACTTTGGACAGATGCCCGGACTCCAAGAACCGGTCTGCTTTGCGGAGTTCTTGAAACCATTGCTGCAAGAAGCAGTATCGCACGCCACAAGCTCTTGGCTGAGGACCTTCTAGCCAAGATTGTCACAAAGGTCGCTCCATCAATCAACTTCAACTTCTGTACCCGGTGCCCAATGTCGAAATACTTCTCTCACAGAGCCGAGCTCGCCTTCGACATGCCGAAGTGGAGTCCGTCATACTCCAACGCGAAAGCCTTCCCCGTGTTACCGTTTTCTGCAAAACGAAGAATGACGGCTGCTTCATCCATGTCCTTGGCCATACTGCCCTTTCCGATCTGTCGCCTCACATAGATCCATTATCCCTCCAGTAACTCCAGATTGGCGCAAGAGGCAACCGGTGGCCGTGATCCACTACTAATGCAAATCTTTCCACGTTGGTGCCGTGTGCATCCAGTGCTGCTCTCACCTGCAGCATGTCACCCTGAAAGGTCGCTTGAAAACACAAGCAGAAAGCATGCACAAGTCAATTGGAGAATGCACTCTTCACAAGTTCTAGGTTCCTGAGTCTCTACATTGGGTGCCATGGAGCTCCAGCAGTCATCTTGCTGTGTCTGACCCTTCTCTGCCACGAACAAACAAAAATATGAAAACACAGGAAAGACCCGAAGACCGTCTATGACGTGTATGTTACGTATGAACATGTGTGAAATGAGAGCGGGCCATGTAGACGGTCTCGGAGCCAATGCAGAAGCCCTTGGCCCCAGGGAGCTCCAAGCCTGGTGAGCGTCGGTGAGGGGCGGTGAGTTTTATGGTGAGTTCTCGCGGATCTCACTAATTGCACAGGAGCTACGCAGGACAGCAGCTGCATTCATGCACGGTGGCTGCATGCAAAACTAGCAGAAATCATGAAAGTTCTAAGCATTGGATAGTCTGATGCAGAAAGGGTATCCTTGAAGCAGACCTGCGACTTCCCAAAGATCCAGAGCAGCGGGACTGACAATTGATTCCTCCGCGGCCTCCGCGGCCCTTGTTTCGTTGACCGTAGGCAAATGCCGAAGGCTCCAACCTGAGTCCCGGCCAAAAATTCCCTGTTTCTGTGCGCCTGGTGATGTTCGACTGCTCGAACCCCACCCGTTCCCTGAACTGGTACAGTCCACAGCAGTAACATGACCGACTCGAATTGCTTCAGCACATGGCAGAGGACGCACACGTTTCCAAGGAAAGAGACAAGAACCTCGAAGTTCAATAAAAGCAGCAGCTCGTCAGTCCCCGTGGTTCGGTCTTCGCGGCGTCTCATGCAACTGATTCTTCAACTGTTCCTGTAGGCCATCCAAACCAACCCTAGGAATACATCCTGACGAGCATGGCGGAGGCGCCCAAACTCAAGCTTGCGCCAATCAAACCCCAAAGGAACTTGCCGCGGGTGAGAAAGGTGGGTTACAAAAACAGACATACAGGCCTTGGCCCGCTGCCACATCCACCTTCGATGTGCGGGTATGCATGTCCGAGGCTCGTGCCAATGCTTCTGCTCGGACGGCAAGAAGTTGATCCTCCTTTCTCATGTCAACCATGGCGCGAGTTCAAAGAGCTCTGCTCCGCTTCGACCCAGCTGCATCAACTTGCTGTGGCCCAAGCGCTTTGGTTCTCGGCCGGTAAGGAGAACCAGCGTAAAACTCCAGGAGAGAGATGGCCCCGCTCTTGAACCCCGTCCTCATGCATGTGGTTCGACATATCGATATACTTTCCAGCTGGAAGCTCAGATCATGGCCTTGATTTTCACTGCTTCATCACCCCATCGAACCTGACGTACTAAAGGTGGTCGCGCAGACTTCGACTTGAAGTTCTGGCAATCTTCGCTACGTTAATGGACATCACAACAGAACATTTTCCGCAGCAAGACAGCAATTGGAAACGCCAAGTACATCTACCAGGTAGAGTGTCATCTTTGTTGCAGCGGTCTGGTGTCATTTTGCTGCCCCGATTTCAATCCTTCCCCTGCCTGAAACATACCGGGAAGGCATTCTGCTGCCCCGCAGAACATGCTGTTGACCATATCCCTTAAAATTGACACACGAAACAGCTCAACATGTATAGCTCTCAATGAACAATGTACGGGTGGCCGTCGAGTCGGGAAAACGAGTCGAAAGCGCGCAGGACCATGTCAGAAAACCGCGAGGAGTCAGAAAGCGGAAAAGCGTGAGTCCGGAAACCGAGCACACACGAGTCAGAAAACCAAGGACTGAGTCAGAAAACCTCGCTATGCACACAAAGGTTAACCTCTACAAAGAACCCGATAGGTCCCTGTGCACGTCAAACGTCTCGAGGTTCCGTGCAAACTTGCTTGAGCATAGATGAGTGTTTTTTGACCTATCATGCGAGCATTGTGTTTGCAAATGGGGGGGGGGCGTTGTGGCCCCTCCAACCCCCTGTTCTTTTAAAGACGTGCAAGCTTCCTTCAACAGAATACTTTCAATTCCATCATGCGAGACCCTAATAACCCCAAACCCTAAACCCCAAACCTACAGTTTGGATCAGATCTGGTTTTGTATTGAAATGAAATCAAACACAGAAGCAATTGGTCAACAAATGGATTTAGAATGCATCAAGCTTATATTGATGAAGATTATGCAATGTTTCAACTTTAACTGCTATTTTAGGTGGATTTGATACAAGATGGTGCTGTGGGGAACCGGATATCGTAAACATGCAATGCCCTTGAAATCATATAATCTCAGTGAGCGGAAATAGGTTCACAAAGTGATTGTGCGACATATCATCATCATTCATAAGACGCCTAAACCCTACACACCAAACACCTAAACCATAAACCCTAGAAACCCCGAAACCCTAAACCCTAAAAACCCTAAACCCTAAGACCCCCTAATCCTCGAACGTTGAAACCCCCTAAACCCTGAACCCTCAGAACCTGGAAGCCTAAACGTCAAAAAACACCAAACCTGAAACCTCAACAAACCCATAAACCCTAATTAATCCCTAAGAAGAAAGCCCGAACAACCCCTAAACTCGACACCGCGAAACATCCCGTAAGCCCTAAACCCCAAAAGCTCCTGAACCGCTACATTCCCCTAAACTCTAAACCTCAATATCCCTGCCTTTGTTCAAGCCGCGCAAGCTTGCTTCAAAAGCACACATGAATCTTTGTCGAACCCATCATCCGAGCTTTGTGTTTGCAAATGGAGGGGGAACTGCGCCCGCCCCCAAACCCCCGCGCTTGTTAAGCCGTGCAAGCTTGCTTCAAGCATTTTTGTAAACCCATCATGTGAACATTGTGTTTGCAAATGAGCGACTGCCAAAACTGGCTCGAGGTGCTAATGGACGCAACATCAGGGGTGTCGCTTTTCAAGTGTTCCCATCGTTTTACAGGGTTTTAGCATCATTTATCCACGCTTGATGTTTGTAGGTGTCGCTTTAGGAAAATCACGGCTATAGCACACCCAACGGTTCATTAACTTAGGGGTGTCGCTTTTCAAGTGGTCCCATCGTTTTACAGGGTTTTGGGCATTCGTGTCCACCCCTTACTTAATTGAATGGCTGGGGGTTTTGGCGCTTGCTCAAATGGGGGGGGGCTCAATGGCTTCACTCAGGTGTCCTTTTCCCGACTTGACTATCACTCAACAATGTACTCCAAAAGGAGCACCGTGCCCATTTCAAAACATGCTTGCCGCAGTGCTGATGTTCAGGTGACCCTTCTTGAAGCCATTCCTCTGCTGCCCAGATCTGCCCAGTTTTCCTCGTCACTCTGTGGAAGCGACATTGCTCTGCAAGGTGTGGGATGCTGTGGGGCTTGTTTGGGTGCTTGAATTCTGCACTTGGGTTACAAGTGGACAGGCCAGTGTGGAAAGGTTCGTCCTGAGGTTTTAGAAAAACACAATGTTTTTCGGTTCGATAGTGGGAAAGACTGAAGTTAGGGACTTCCAGGCTTTGGACAAACATGTGTTTCGGATTTGCCGAGTTTTTCCTTTCCAGCTTTGCTGGCGCGTGTTCGTATATGTTCACCTCGTTACCATCAAGGAATTGGCTGCGGCAAGGCACTGTGCCACTACGATCAGCTGAGTTGACAAGCTCAGGCCGGAGCACGCAAGGAATACGCAGCAAGGTGGTTGCTGGTAATGGTGAGAAAGATCCAACCAGCCCTGCAATTCAATCACCATTGATGAACATAAGAAGAGCCTCCTGTCATAGAAATCGTCGGCCTGAAGGCCTTGCTCGTTGCCGCGATGACCAAACTTCCCTGACAAAGCAGGGAAACAAGGACACGTGCTGACACCGAACAATTGAACAATGTACCTTCGCACCTGACTGGCAAGCTCACGGCTCCAGTCATGATGAGATGGTTGCGGGTACCTTGCACATGCCTAGCTGTACCAGCACACTAACAGACAAACTGCGTTGCAAACTCCATTTTCATTCGATGGCCGAGGCTGCCAATAGCCGCCAGCACTGACCACCATCTGTACAAGCTTGTACACATCGGCGGTATGTAGAGCATCGACTGGAACATCTTGTTCCACGACTGTTCTTGCATGCTGCAAAGCCCCTGTCGTTCATGAGGACTCATGAGACATTGTCACGGCTGATGTATGTCAGTCTCCGCAGCCACGAGGTGTGCATCAATTCAGCGCATCAGTGCATAGCGGAAGAAAAACAACAGGTACTGCTGAATCAGCCTCAACGGTTGTGTTTGCGAAAGGCCGGGAGGCTCTACGAAGCTGAAGCTGTTTCTGAGCCTTGTCTGCAACGCGGGAGTAGAGTCCCTCCTCGAACAGAAATGCGAACGTGACACAAACAAACAGTGGGTCTACATCTCAGTAGGTGCCGGAATCTCTCTCGCAGTCCTGAGCATACCTGGCAGCTTCAGGCAGCAAGTCGCGAGCTGCACCTGCTGACACCGATGACAGGGTATGACAGGGCATGACCGGGTGCGCAATAGACACGATGTCGAGTGATTTAAGTTGTCCGTGCTTGTCGGGGTGAACTGCTTGCCAGTCTGTCGGAGAAACTGATGTCCAACTCACGCATTGGTTCCTGTAGCTTGGCCAGATGGGACCAGACCGTTCTACTTTGGCCTCGGCAAGGCCGATGCGAGGCTTCCTCTGCATGAGGAAAGATGGGAAGTGCACGGCAGACAGCACATTGTGCGGCGACATGCGCGTTTCTGCACCAATCCTCGGATTCGGAAGCCAAAGGCCTGCCGATGTATGTTATGTAATCTTCCAGCAGCTCCAGGCACCGGTCACCCGCCTTTCGTCGTCTTCCAAATCGCTTTCTGTGGCTTCGGATGGCGGGGGAGTTGGCCTCGAGCTCTAAGAGCTGCCAAGGCTGATCAAGGCTGCCAAGGCTGGCCGTTGCATGCGTTTGCTTTCCATCCGAGGAAGCGGCACCCATCGCAACGACACTGGCCGACCAAAGCTTAAAGGCGCCTTGATGACACAAAGAAGATACGCCCGACCCGAATGGAAGTCATACTGAGACAGCAACCCCTAGTTCTCCACCATGAGCAGAGAATCGTGTTCCCGCTGGTGGTGTCAGCGGCTCCTTCTCTGCAGCTGCAACTCTGAAGACATACCCTTTTGCCATACATCCCAGCGGTATCTCTTCAATGAGGGCATCGCATCTCCAGACTTCCAGCAAAGTCCGTCGCTGCCCGGGTAGCCTACTGGGTGGAATGCTGTGAAAAACAACTTGCAGAGCACCTTGTGGACGGAACAATCTATCTGAGGCCTAGATACAGGGCTCCACATCCAGCAGCTCGCAATCGGAAACCCTCGGCACAATGATGCCGGCATTCCAGCACTGGCCAGGGTCAAATCATCACAGCTGCAATGCACTTCAATGCACTTCAATGCACCTCGCCGAAGCGGATCGGCCCTTCTCGAGGTCCATCTCCTGTCTTGCAACGTGCAGCCCTGTTCGGGCTGGGCACGTCAAAATGCCGAAAAATGCCTTGTCGCTCTGCCACAAGTTCGATGGGCTCGACTGCTAGGCTCCGGTTTATCCTCTGGCGACGTTTGTTTTGCACAAATCAAATGCCCACCTGAGCCGTGCCTTCGTGCTGCTATCGGCTCCAACTGCATGGCCTCAACAGATCTCAATCAAGTGAAACAACAGCTCTTCATTGCAAGGCTTGATAGCCAACATGAGAAGTGGTGGCATGCTGGTAACGTGTGCCAAACTGATGCAAATGTGACAAACGTGACCCGAGTGCTGCCGAAAAATATGGCCAGTCCTAAACCGCACAAATTAAGAGAGTTTTGTCCCGAGATGTGGTGACTTTGGGAATTGAAGCTGATCCACTTCTGTTGACTGTTGATGTAAGCACTTCTTTTACAAGAGTCAGGTCTGAGGTACTCGGACAGTCTTGGATGTCATCTGCTCGAAAGCAAAGAGCATCACAGCGTGCAAGCAGTCAAAGCCATCAGAAGCTTGTAGTGCGTAACTAGAGAATGGCGGTCCCGAAAGCATGTTAGAGCCATCATTAAGACCACGACATCCAACACGACATGCATGACGACATCCATCCATGACGACATCAATCTTTGCGTCAACGACGACAACGAAGAAGCTTCACGAAAACCGTTTTCGACAACGCAAAAAACACGTAGAAAGTTGTTGTTCATGCGAGCACGACACCCCGCGCACACGCAGAGGGTCCTCGTTGCTGACGACACGCCAAGAACTCAGACGGTCCTCGTTTTTGCGCTTCGACAACGCCAAAACACGAAGAGGATTGTACGCAGAGGTTGTCGTTCGCGCGATCACGACACGCCAAGACCATCCTCGTTTTAAAATTGCATCTCGACAACGCCAAAACACGCAGAGGGTTGTCGCTCGAGCGATCGCGACACCCCGCACACACGCAGAGGGTCCTCGTTTTTGCGTTTCGACAACGCGAAAACACGCAGAGGGTTGTCGTTCGCGCTATGACGACACGCCAAAACCACGCAGATCGTTTTTGCGTTTCGACAACGCCAAAACACGCAGAGGGTTGTCGTTCGCGCTATCACGACACGCCAAAACCACGCAGATCGTTTTTGCGTTTCGACAATGCCAAAACACACAGAGGGTTGTCGTCCGCGCTATCACGACACGCCAAAACCACGCAGATCGTTTTTGCGTTTCGACAACGCCAAAACACGCAGAGGGTTGTCGTTTGCGCTATCACGACACGCCAAAACCACGCAGATCGTTTTTGCGTTTCGACAATGCCAAAACACACAGAGGGTTGTCGTCCGCGCTATCACGACACGCCAAAACCACGCAGATCGTTTTTGCGTTTCGACAACGCCAAAACACGCAGAGGGTTGTCGTTTGCGCTATCACGACACGCCAAAACCACGCAGAACGTTTTTGCGTTTCGACAACGCCAAAACACGCAGAGGGTTGTCCACGCTACGCCAAGACAACGCTGAGGGTCCTCGTTTTTGCGTTTCGACAACGCCAAAACACGCAAAAGGTTAGCGGTTTTGCCCTTTTTGTAACCAAGTGCGCCGGCTCCCGCAAACCTTACCCCGTGCTTTAAATCATATTAATTTTTGAGGAAAACCCACCAAATCCATCACGGCATTCATCCGAGCATCATCCATCACGCCATCCATCACATCCATCACGTCATCCGTATAACGACGACTCTTTAACGACAATCACCTCCCCTGGAAAACCCTCCGCCATGCTTTCGGGAAAAGTACGCAGTATGCGAGTGCATCGATCCCATGCTAATGCTAAAGGCGAAAGAATGGAGCCATGCCCGTTGTAATCGACGCTCGGACATGCTGCTTGGACACGCTTGGACACTCTTGGACATAAACCGTCAGCATAAGTATTCAGACATTCAAAGACCTTCAAAAACAATGTTCTTGAATCAACAATTAAGCAGCTTTGCTTGGTCGTGATCTGCAGCGTAGCAACACATGGGGCCAACAATCGGGGCAGCAACACGGTTGCACAGAAAAATCGAAAGTTGCCATTTCGATCATCCCACCCTATCCCTGAGCATTCAACTCGACACAACCCGATTCACAATTGCCTTGAACCCCCTGGTCTGCTTGCTGGGGTGCACGTAGTCCGCCTGAGCCCTCTTGGGTTAACCACAGTCATATTCCGGTAAAGTCGCCAAGCTTGCGTATAAACACTGCGTGAAGATCAGAAAACCACCCTTCCCGCTCAGTTGCCTGCCCGAGCCTCCCTGCCTTTCTGCCCTGCTGAAAGCCAAAATCGACGCAGATGCCATCGTCACCTACCTGAGCCTCCCGTGCCAAAACAAAATCCACATAGCCTCCCAATCCTGCTTGTGACAGCGGCATTCCGGCACAGTTGCCCGTCTGAGCCTCTCTGGCCTGCTGGAATGCTTATGGCCTATGGCCTATGGCTTATGGAGGCCAGCCGCATACTACCTGCTGTCTGCGTGTGGTTCTGACATGTCCTGCATGTTGCACTGTCGGCTGTCCTGAGCACGTCGGGTATGCTTTGTCCTCAACATCCACCAGCCTCCCGGCCTTTCCCGTAGAACAAGAGCAAAACAGTGGAACAACAGCAAAACCTCGGCATGCCTGGCTTCTCGCTTCCACGAGAGTCCAAAGGGTGAGACCTAACGAGCCGCAGAACTGCCAGAGCTGCAACAGTTACTTAGAGCTGCAAGAGCAGCAGCCGTAAAGATGTGAAGAGAAAGCGAGAGCCATTGAGGCAACGTGTGGCCGAGATGGCGCATAAGGCTTTGGCAAGAACCATCCATAACCGGAGCTGTGCCTTTGGCACAGGCAGCCACTATGTCCTTAACCTCAAGTTGAATGGACACCTTGAACACCGCTGAAGCACTTGCCCGAATCGCTGAGTCTCGTGGCAGCATCTTGTGTTTCCAAGGGAATGACCTGACACTGATCTTGACATATCTTGACATCAGCTGCGAAGGGTGCAAAGACTCGAAGAATGGCTTCTAAGGGCCCGTCCAGGGCCTCAGGCGACCCGAAGAGTCCAAGCGGTCCCGGGGTCTGACGGGAGCTGAGGCGATTGAGCGATTTCACATCTTATATCATTTCAGCATTCCTTCCGAGCCTCCCCACGAGCCCGCAGGCACAACTGTGCCTAGCGAGATGGCCGCGTTTTGAGTTGCACTGCGTTCTTTTGTGTTCTTTTCCGCCACGCAAGCCGAGGGCTCAACTGGGAACGAAACCACCTGTGGAAGGAGCACACTGCCGCTAGTTCCATCCTCCCATTAGCTTTATGTTCTCCTAATTCGTCCGGGTCTATGCTCATCCTTTCACCGAGCTCACGACCGAAAGTGGCACAGAGCGTTCTGCAGTTTGAGGTCTGCGGTCCTTCCACCGCTTCCAAACCCCCTTTTCGGCACCGTGCGATTCCCAATCAGGCGGCCTGGACGCGGCAAGGCCTGTCATTGGACATTACACACCTTGCACACTTGAAAGGGCCGATACGAAATACAAGAAATCAAGACAGGTGCACGGCTCGAAAGGGACACTGGTGTCCTTGCAAGCAATGCAAGATGAGGGGGATCAAGCCCCTTCGAGAAGTGAAAAGTTGCGACAAGTCATTTGTGCAGCTCAAATCCGGTCCCAAGCGAGTTCACCACCCCGAGGCGTTTCCTTTGCCTCAGCATGCAACAGAAACCAAACAATACCTACAGCAACAACAGCAGCAAATGCGCAGCAACAATAGTAGGAGAAAAACACGAATCAGGGTTCCTCAAAAAGCAAGCATTGAACTGCCAGGCGGCAGGGAGCCGTGGTAACAGCTTGCGCCGGAAAATCACTTTGTCAGAGGCCTGAGCAAACAGGATCACTGCATTTTGCCTGCACCAGTGTGCACACTACACGTATGCGCAAGCTGTGCGCGAGCTGTGCGCAAGCTGCATGCACGCTGCGCGTTGTGCGCGAGCTGTGTGTTCCCCCAAGTCCTTCCGTCTTGTGTCACGATGTGTGTTGGGCAAACTGGCAAAAACCCGGGCGCGGCCTCTTGCAAGGCCGCGCTTCCATGCCCAAAGGCCCAAAGGCCCAAAGGCCCAAAGGCCCAAAGTCTGGGTGCTTTCTGCAAGTTGGGTGGGCATCTTTGCCGCTTGCGGTTGTCAGGTCAGGCAGAGCCAGGTTGAGTCAGGCTGTCAGGTGTCGCACCCAAAAAAGTAAAACACTCCGTTCACTTTTCATCCCAATGGGGGTGCAATGTGCCTACACCTCGATGTGCCGGCCTCGCCCTGACACAAAGGCCCTTGCCATGCACTCACCGTGACAAACTCACTGTGACAGCACACGCCCCACAGGAAACAACTTTACAAACATCAGCAGGGTACAGTACCGACCCGCATATGGGTCCGAGTCTTTGGTTTCAACATTTTCTACGAATACTTTTCTTGGATTGTCGTTGCATTTTCCCGTAAAAGGCGACCCCCGGAGAACAGAAAAAGGAAGAACTTGGCTTTTGGTGGACATTCGGCTGTGGATCTGTATTGCTCTCGACGGATGCTGTCCCATTGCACGAGCATAGCAGCTGTACACTTTCCCTGTTCAGCCCTTCTGTTGAGAATGCCATCCGCCGCGGGCTTGACCCCAGCAAAAACACGCGAACATGGCAGCGCGCGGCAGCGCGCGGCAGCGCATGGTAGCGGGGGAGCCGGAGCCCATTCACCTGTGAACACTTCATACCGTTATTTTGATACCCGCAGAGTCCCGTGCGAATTTTGTGCTCCTGCCTTTTTTTGGGTCGTCGTCATACAATGTGCCTCAAGTCTTCGTACCACACAGCATCATGTGCATCCAGAAAGGCGCTGTCATGGAATAGACTTTTTGTGTGCAGTGAAGTAAGCGAGTCCAGCACAAACACCTTAAGTTCAAAATCCTAAACTGCTCCAGAAGTAAACGCTTCAAACAACATCTAGGCAGAAAGACAAGGATTTGGCATAGAGGGTCACCGTTCAATAGAAGAAGCCGACAAGAACCAGTTCCCCTGTTCCTTTCTTGTTCAATTTTCCCCAAACAGATCCTGCCCGATCAGCGCGCATCCACCAAATGCTCGCGCGATGCCTCACTTTTAGCATAGTGGTGCGGTATTGCTGCGTAGCATCCTCCTTCACAGGTTCCAAACAACTTGAATCGCTCCCTTCCCTGGTATACGTCAATAACAAGATAGCAGAGGATAGCCATTAGGGCCAGCTAGCGTTGGGATGTGTTGCGTCATGCCCGAGAACCAAACCAATGGATGTCAGGGCGTGACAATCTTTGCTCCGGCAACAAAAGGCATCTGTCGAAGCCAGCATCTCAATATCTGGCCTTGTCCAAGCTCGCTTGCCATCCAGCAGAGCCATGCATATGAAGCCACCCCCTGCAAAGCAAGTGGTCACGGAAGGTTGTTCGTGAGGCTGCCCTACAACAAAGTCCGTTGCTGGACATTCTCACCCGGTCTGGCATCAGCCTCCCGTTACTTCTTGGAAGGGAGGAAACGCCGTACTTGGAGCTTGCTTTGGGCCACCGCAGGGAAACTTTGTCAAAAACTATGTCAACAACATGTCACAAAGGCAAGACTGCAAGTCCTCGCGGTACCATGGGGCACCTATTTGGATCGCAGGCAGCGTAGATAGCCACGGATCCCCTGTGCGGGATGACCTGTGCCATTGCAGTGCAAGGCCCTAACCGGCCATTTTAGGGCCGTGCTTTTGGCCTCGATGGCGACTTCCAGATTGTCACTGACCTCACCTTCTGAAACCTGGAGACACACTCGCGGCATCTCGTGGCATTTTCCCGACAGTGTCGCCGTCCGGGGCTCCGGGGCTCAGGGGCGTGCATAGAAGCGGTATCTGTCATATCTGAGCACCTCCGGGAACCCCAATTGCGTCACATCATATCAAAAGGAGATATCCAGAGCGCTGCCTTCACTGCGCCTTGCGCTGTTGCCCCGTTCAAGAGCCATTTGGCATGTGCCTGTTTGGCAGATTCACACAGATTCACACAGCCCTGCCTTACAGCTCCACACAAGCCGGCTGGTGAGCCTGAGATCGGGCAGAGATGACGAAGCGACTCGACCGCATCCCCGTACTTTGGACTCGAATGAACAAGACCTTTCATGCTGTGTTCTCAGCGAAAGGAAGACGCAACAAACAATTTGTGACCATCGGAGCGGAGGACATGAGTTGCTCTACGTGCACACCAGCCTCAAAGAAACGAACATACAAACCTTCAACAACGGGCAAGATGTCACCTGACACCATTAAAGGCATTTCAAGGCAGCAAGGGCAAGCAAACAGCAAACAAAGGGGGCGTTTTATGTTGTTCAACGAATCTGCTGCTTTCAGATTCTTTATGGAAGAGATACCTGCATTTATTTCTGGAAGAGATACCTGCACCTGCTATTTGACCGCATTGGTTAGGGAATGGGAGGGGAACAGGACAAAGCACACTTCAGGAACTTTATTGACTTTATGAATTTCCGGAATTTCTAGAACAGCCCCCGTAAGACTTAAAATACACCTCATGGAGCCTGTCGTGCCGACCTGCCTCGCCGCTGCAGTGGCGGCAGGCCCCGGCCAGCGGGGGGCGCATAGTGCTAAAGTACAGAGATCGAAATCCCGAAAGTTCCCCAACTTTTCGAGATTCTAAAACTATACTTTGCAAAAGACTCAATGTTATCTTCTGTTTTTGTTCGTTGTCGGGGCTGGTTGGGGGGTTGGGAGGGGTGGGAGGGAGGGAGGGGAGGGGGTACATAAAAACAGAGTCCATTCACATGGCGACCTTGCCCAACACATTTGTCATTTCGTCGTTTGTGCCTCTCTGTACAACATACTTCATCCTTTTTTGGAACAAGACACGCGGTCACAAGCGTCGTGGCTGTCCTTCCTACACACTTAGAACTTCAGTTTCGCAGGAACACACCGCATACTGCACAAGGACGTTTGACTCTTCTGGAACAAGACTTAATACCTGCCCCAGCAGTGAAAGCGCAAGATTTTTACTTACAAAACATGGTTTTCGATCACCTTGAAGGCGTGCATTTTCAAAAGTAATGCACCTGCCACCATGTCACCCCCGAACACAACCAGATAAACTGAGGACAGGTAGTTACTTTAGGAGCTCGGTTAGTAGTTCCAAAAACTAATGTTGCTAAGTTTCCGAAAGTTCCTGAAGCTGTAGAAGCTTCAGGGCGTTTAGGAAATTAAGAGATCCAAGGCCTGAAGTTCTTGAAGCTTCAGAAACCTATAGGATTTGGGCGGAAAATCTCAATTTTCGAGAACAGTTGGAAACTTTCGAGCAGGAGAACAGAGGAAACGACCGTGATAAGTTTAAGAGCCTTCACCACATACCTGCAGCGAGCGTGGGCCAGGAACTTCTCAATCTTTTGCAATTCGTGACAAGAGTGGGGTATTATTGCACGCAGTTTCTTGACGGCATATTGGGCGGCAACACAACTCACACATGGGAAGGGCTTGAAGGTAGGATAAGGCAGGCTGCGACATCCTCGTGGAACTTGAGAGCCGGACCGGTGACTCTCCGCCCTTATGGAACTCTAGCAAGGCTCGCACAAACTCCGCTCGGCTTCGGATGTTTTGGGAGCTGGCAGGGAAGGCTCTCGCACTGGGCTCCAGGAGGATGACCGCATCGGCCCTCAAGGCCGGTGCACCGATTTCGACTGTCTCGGTTTCTCACATATCTGACTTTTCTCGCTTCGTCTCAGCTACAGGCTGGCCCGTCGTTGAATCATTCGGAAAATCCGGACTGCAGATCAAGATTTGCCACACTCTTGCTCCTGAAAGTTTCGGTAAAGGCTTTGTAGCGCCGGCCTCGAAGATACCACAAAGCCTGGAGATCCAGACAATTTCGACACCTGGTCTCCACAGGTCTCTACATCCTTCTGGACACTGTTTAGAAGTATGACTTCTTCCGCTGAGCTTGCTGCCGAGATCAACACGGCCATGTTGCTCTGTCTCACTTTATACCTGAACACCTCAGGTAACCATCACAGTTCAAAGTCATGACAACAATGCACATCGCACCTGCCTGCGAGTGGTTGACAGGCAGCATCTGCTCCAACTCCTCGCCCTGATTGCTAAAGAACTGTCAAAAGTCAAAAGCAATCTAGTCCGTCGAGGCACGACCGGCACTGCATGCCACAACCCGGCCTCCAATAACTGCTGCATCCCCTGACTGTCCAGAACCGCCCGGACCTTATGCTTGCTTGGTACGTTGTTTAGCATTGCAACTTTGCAAGCCCGATGAAGACAGGGCAAACACCGTCAAAGGCACGTGAGTCTCTGCATCAGAGGCCTGCACAGTGGGAATGCAGAAGCCACAGCTCAAAGTTTGCAAGTTTTTCGCAGGCGCAACAAAGCCCAAGAGCCAGTCCAGCGCGGTAGCTGCGAGGTAGAGAAAGCAGGGCAGACGGCAGTCAATCCAAAAAACCTCAAACCAAGGAGGCTTCACGTTGAGATGCTCTGAACCAAGAGTAGAAAAGATTGACTACAAGCAATCATGAAGTTTCTGAAACACCTTATGGAGAAACACCCCTTCATTCCAATCTACGAACAAGACATAACAAGACCATAGGAGCGCACCTCGTTCCAAAGACCCGCACCACACCACCCCATCCCACACCACACCACAGACACACGCTGTCACTGGCCCCTCCACTTTGTTGTTCATTTCCCTCACCTGAGTAAGGACTGTTTCGAAGAACATGCTTTGGAATGGGCAGACTGGTTGCATGCTCCATGTACAGACGATTCTCACTATGTTGTGCCCACTTTGCTCTGCCATCACCACCTGAGTGCTTGAACCCAACACTTGTAAAGTTTTAAACATATTCCGAACCCGCCAAAACCTCGGGCCATTGGAGTTCTGACAGATGTCTCAGGTCCCCACCTAGCCCTCCTCCCCGTTCTTTAAAGGCAAAGGTACCCCCGCTTAGCCGACCGGCATCCGGGAGCACACGGGTAGTCAAACTGCTGCGTCGCTGGAGGAAATCAGCGAAATATCACGTGTACCAACTTAAATGCTCGTATTATGCTAGAGTTGAGGGAGGGTAAAAAGGTCTCAACAAACATTGCGAGCGGTGGTCTCTTTAGTCCCTGAAAGTTCCTTTGGCAAAGAACGCAAGCGCCCGTGGACTTCCACGGGCCTTCCATGGAGCTTTCTTTGAATTTGCTTCCGCGGAGCTTCCACGAAAGGAAACTGTAGTCGTGTCAATCGCTTGGGATTGGGTCATTTTCATGCTGCGTTGGAGTCCGCTGTGTGCAAGCAGTCTGATCGGGGCGAAAGACGAAAAGCTGAGGCAGTCCGAAGTCGCAACGAAAAACTTCACTTACCCACAGGCCTGAGTTTCTGACCTGTCCAACTTCATTACTGCATCAGACAGATTGGGCCGTACATCCACATACTCCAGTCGCTTCCGCGTAGCTTCCGCGCAGCTTCCGCGCAGCGCTTCGCAGCTTGCGCGCAGCTTCTGCGAAAGCATGTGAAATCTGTCGCAATATGAGGCTTGCAAGCAATATATACCAACCGCACCGACACCCCCAGACAGCCCACCGCCAAGGTCGCAACAACAAATTCCGCAATCAGCTTCCGCGGAACACTTGCTTCCGCAAGCCTTCCGCAAGCTTCCACGCGTACAGCTCGGCCTATTTCCCGCAAACCGTCCATATGAGCCTGTCCCAGGTAAATGTATTTCCATGTCAATGCACCGTAATGCGGCCACCCGCTGTTGTCCCACCGTTGCCCGTCAGCATCTGTCACCCTTCCTTTCGATGCCATAGCCCTCAGACCCGAGTATTTCCCAGTCCTTGTCAGCATCCTGGTCCCGAAGCCCAAATCTCAGCAAACTCCGTCCCATCCGCCATCAACCCCCAGGTGCTTAAATTCAAAACTCAGAGAATGACCCTCTGTCCCACACAAACTAACCGACCAAATCCTGCATAGTGCCTAGATTTCATAGGATTTTCATAGGACACACAATTTGCAAAACATGTTCAGAGTTGTATAAAACATGTGAGGTGATTCGCAGACACTTACTTCTCCTGACTTGGGCGTCACTCCAGGAACCATCCCGACAATATCATCCAAGGCCCTCGGCTACAAAAAACAAAAAGCAAAGTCACCAGCAGTGTCGCCACCGGGTCATCATCGGGTCCCAGACTTTCACCCCTGAATTCCCCGCAAACACACCGACCAAGGGGGGGAATCACAGCAAGCCAAGGGCATACGCGATGTGGTAGAGCTAAGATTGAACACATCCAACTCTGCGAGCTGGTGTCTTGCTGCCAACTGCTTGTAAATCCTGCCTCTGTTTGGGCCATTGTTCCAAAGCACCTTCTTGACAAAAGGAACAGGTGTTGACATCTTCTTTCATTCCTCTCTTGGTCTTCAGGACAAAGCTGTCAAAGCCCATGTGACTGAACACTCATATGCATCATGTGTGCCCAGTGAGCAGCCATGAACGAGCACCCATATATGTGCAAGCATGTGAGCGGCAACGCTTTACCGTGAGCGGAGTTAACAGGTATGCGAGACATCATGTTTGGTGCTAGTAAGCTCGGGTGGACACACTGTGGCCGGCAAGTCGGCTCACCGTGGTAAGTCGCAACACCTTCTCAGAAAGAGATCTTTTGGCACCCTCGATGCTGTGCGCGGTGCTGCTCGGCTATCCTGCCTCGTTGCTTGTATTGGCTCGCGTGGCCTGCGGCCACTGGAGAAGTCTGACTGCAATTCTTTGTGGGCAGGGTGTGCCTCTTGCAGAGATGAGTGGAGACTTGGGTTCCGACCCATCGATACCCTGTAGGATCCGGATGGCGAGAGGTGTCAGCCACCAAGCTCACCTTGTGCAGCAGCATCAGACCGCATCAGGCCACCACATGGCGCAAACCACAAAATTCACAAAGAACAGCGACATTGCTGCAACACTCAAAACAGAAGAGCACTCAATACAGCAAACAGCTTTTCCATGGGAGCGCCGCCTTGCCAATGGAGCTGGCAGAGAGCGAGACCTGCAAGGCTGCAAGGCTGCACTTTCGATGTTCCCAAGCATGTGAGAACTGCGAGAACTGTGAGAACTGTGAGAACTGTGAGAACTGTGAGAACTGTGAGAACTGTGAGAACTGTGAGAACTGTGAGAACTGTGAGAACTGTGAGAACTGTGAGAACTGTGAGAACTGTGAGAACTGTGAGAACAGACACGTTGGCACCTGCACCGGCTTCTTTTGACCACCGGGGATGAGGACACGGAACTCCCGCCATGTGACCTGAACAGCAGGAAGCCCTAAGAAAAGGCAAGTGAGCAGATCGCCATGCCTTCCACGAGCCATCTGAAAATGCCCGTGGTGGTACGGAGGAGTGGGCTGCAACACCGTCCTCATGACTTGGGCAGTGCTTGGCTACGATGCTAAGACAGACGAGTTCATGTCTTCAGGCCTTCAAGGTCACCACACCCGTATCCGTCACAGCGGTGATCCAAAACTCTGCCTTGCAACTTTTCGATATCTTTCTGAAAGCAAAAAGCTTGCACGGAAGATATCAGAAGCTCGCCTGTTGGGCACTGGACAGGTTCGAGCCGTTCGAACGACAAACCATAATGGAAATACTCTCCTGCAAGGCAGTCAACTTCTAGATCTACAACATGAGATCTCGAAGGCAAAAAACTATCCAAAAAACTCCTCCTTCGAAGTTTTCGAAGTGAGCTTGCGGGCTGCAGCCACATCACTGCCTGAAGCGACTCCAGCAGCGCCTGTTCCTAAGTCCTTTGTCCGAGTTCCGGGCTGGATATCAACAAGGCTGCTCCGGTCCCACCTCTCACAATGAAGATTCCAGACTGGAGCTGCAGCTTTTCCAACTTCAAATTTATCTATGTATATCTCATTATATCTCTGTTGCTTTCGCAGTTTTATCTTCTTTGCATTCGCCTGGCGGCACCTCACCGCTCCAACGATTGACAATCGAGGCCTGGTCAGGTCATGGAGGCCTTTTCATGTCTTTTCCTTCGATGATTCTACGAAAGCTTACGCAAGCAAAGCTTACGCTGCAACACCCAGAAGCGCCTGCAGAGCATCTGCTGTCAGCATGGCCGAAATCGTCTGTCCGGATGGCAGAGGTCCGTAAAGCCAAGGCACAGTTCCTAGGATTCGTCTAGGATTCGCGCCAACTCTGAAGCATCATGAGCTGCAGCCGTCACCTTGACAGGGCAAAGCTGAGAAGTCAAGGGCGGTATACAGGCACTATCGCATTTTCAGGTAATAACAACGTGCCGCAAACCACAAGCAAGATGGCACAAGGTAGCACCGTCACATCGACGCCATCTTTCACCAGAATCCTGCAAGCTCATGGCAGACAGAGCACAAAGTTTGTCTTGGCAGTCTTGGCGGTCTGGAATCCTTGAAGCCTCGCAAATGCCTCCGGTCAATCGGCCTGGGATTTCAGAAAAAACAAAACAACTGCCCCTCAGGTGCACGAAACTTGGCATGGGACCTGCGTGAGGGACAGCCTCAGGCCAAGAATGCCAAGGCCAACAGTACATCTCTGCATCTAGTCTGCATCTAGTCTGCATCAAGTCTGCATCAAGTTTGCATCAAGTCTGCATCTAGTGCACGCAGCATCACTCAGCAGATGGCTGGGGCCAGAAAAGGCCCAGGGTAACGTGGACCCACATTGATGGAGACTGTCTCAGCTTTGCAGCAAGGAACTGCTGCGAGCCACTACGTCACTGTGCCGCAACTTGGGACATCCGGGGCCGCAGCCCCTGCCCCGAATATCATGATGCAGACCTCCGGCTCTAACTCGGCGAGTTCTCCGTCTGGCTGCGGATGGACGTCGGCCTGCTCGTCCAAGAGACTAATCCAGCTTGTTGATCTTGTTGCTGCCACCGCAGCACTGGCAAGCACAGGCCGGTTCTGCAACAAGAAGTCCGCTGGAAACGTTCGCGACCGTGATGGCGTTGCCTTCTTTGACAACGAGAGAAAAGTTTTTGGCAACAGGTAACAGGCAATGACTTCTATGACTTCTGCACATCCGACTGGGGGTCGATGCCAGCGCAAGAACTTGCATTGCTTGAAAACGCACCACCCAGTCGGTAGACTTTCACCTCAGAAGTCTCCAGAGCACACTTGAAGTCAAACACGTCACACCTTGTGACAATGTTTTAACCTGCCTCGAAGTACCCGTTCAGAGGAAACACGACGAGCCTGACATCCTTGCGAAGCAAAATTTGGAGACGTGCGGAGAGAGACAGCTGCAGCTCTGCTGTCTTTGCAGTGCTATGCAGCAGATACAGTTTTGGTTAGCCTTTGCTACATGCAGTGACAAAGCAATCAATTGTACAAACATGCATTCTATGGCACAGTGGGGCGTTGGATTAGTATTATGCCGGCGTAGACCCCAAACAGTGAGGAGGGCCAGAAAAGGCCAAAGAAGGCCAGCAGAGCACCGACACTCCCGGGGACAAAAATCACAAAAGTTCGTGGGGGCCGAATTCTCTTGGGGGTCAAAAAGACGCCAACCACTGGGGGATTCGGGTTTGCACGCGTGTGGAACTTGGGGGCCAAAAGACCCAGCTGATGATCATAATGCTCAACCCCAAAATCGCTACCCCATAATACTACCCCCCGGCACCCAGCCGTAGGGTGGACCCTAAACCCCTAAACCCTGTGTTTTTCTTGATCCTGCACCCAGGTGGTCTCACCGTGCCCACCGTTGCGGTCGGCAACCTAAGTGGAAGAGGCCTGAAGAGGCCACGAGAGGCCGGAATTCGCGCGAAACCACAGCGGGAGCCCCTCGAAATGCAACGGAATTCGCGCGAAACCACAGCGGGAGCATCGAAACGCAACGGAATTCGCGCGAAACCACAGCGGGAGCGTCGAAACCAAGGCCCCGTCTCACGCGCGCCGTTGCGGTCGGCAACCTAAGTGCCCCCCCCAGAAGAGGCCTGAAGAGGCCACGAGAGGCCGAAATTCGCGCAAACCACAGCGGGAGCATCGAAATGCAACGGAATTCGCTCGAAACCACAGCAACCTAAGTGGCCCCCAGAAGAGGCCTGAAGAGGCCACGAGAGGCCGGAATTAGCGCGAAACCACAGCATCGAAATGCAACGGAATTCGCGCGAAACCACCGCGGCAAGGCCCCGTCCCACCGCGCGCGCCGTTGCGGTCGGCAACCTAAATGGCCCCCCCAGAACAGGCCTGAAGAGGCCACGAGAGGCCGGAATTCGCGCGAAACCACAGCGGGAGCCCCTCGAAATGCAACGGAATTCGCGCGAAACCACAGCGGCAGCATCGAAACCAAGGCCCCGTCCCGCCGCCGCGCGCGCCGTTGCGGTCAGCAACCAATTCCTTTACCCTGAACGTAAGAACCCCATTGTGCAAGCACTGTTTGGGTAATTTTCAAGCCTGACGACATGCGGGAGGTACGCAGGTCCTCCAAGAAGTCAGCCTGGGATTCTGAAACGCATCAGTTGCAGTACGAAGCCACACAGATGCAGCGCACCTTGGCTACGAATCCAACCTTGGCAGGGGAGTCACCTGAGAGTTGTGATGGCAACTCACGACCCGGTGAGCATCATATCTTACCCGCTCATTTTGTTTCTTCCATACAGCCGACTTTCTTCCATATCCTTGCCCGTTTCTTTAGATGTCGGCATGGGACAGCTTGCGAATCACCTGCATTCGTGGGGTACGAGTAGGCTCCGGTGCCTATTGCCTTCTTGACACATGCTGGAATTCAGGATAGGACTTCCTCCCAAAGGCCAAATCGAAGGATAGTTGAGCCTGGGAATCAGAGTAGCGCAAAAGCCTTTAACCATCAAAGTCTACGTTTGCTCTCCAGCCGCCTCAGCTGAACGAAGGGAACATGGTCCTGCACAGAAGAAAACCAAACATCACTCACGAAAGCTGCATCAAGTACACATGCTCAAAGCGCGGAGATCGCCTTGTCAGGGTATGGTCTTGCGAAGCCCGTGAGAATTGCATCACAACCTGCCAAAACACACATGTGAATGTCCGAAAGCTCACACTGATCAGCAAGGCGTCTAGTGGCATGGGGCCAAGTGGCATCTGATGCCAAACATCATTTCACGTGCAAGCTCAAGTTGCTTGCAGGGCTAGTACTCACAGGTGCGCTTTGCTTTTTGCATATGCATGCTTCAGCATGTCCGTAAGGATCTGAAGAAACTGCAAGAAAACAGCCATAAAAGGCATGTAGTTGCTATGTCACCTTTCCCACCCAACTGCCACAGCAACACCAAGTCGGAAGGGGCGCCTTGTCGAGAAACTAGCGAACACAACAAGTCCGTACTCTCACAGCACGGACATTCATTGTCTTCCTGAAGAGGAACGTTTGGCCTCCGACGGAGGAGCCTCCGACGGAAGAAGAGGAGCGCATGGCTGGATGGGCGGAGAGCGTGTTTGAACTGGTGGACGCATTTGGATGCTCAAGAGCCCGGGCCCTTGGGATGCGGGCTTGGATGGAGCGTAGCTCGGGAATTCGCGGGCATGAACGGGTGGAGCGCTTCCCACGAGCGATTGTTTATGTCAATGTATGGGGTTTTCGCCGGGGCGAAGCTCTCTTGAGACTCTTGAATCAATGCTTCTCATACATAGCTTTGCTTCCATTCTGGCGAACAAGGTTGTCGAGGCGTGTCTGCACCAACCTGTCGTCGGGCCAATGCAACAGTGACACTAGCGGCGCATTAGCGGGGCCAAACACCCCAACCCGAAACAGACAGGACTTGCGTGTCCGGGCAACGTGCGACCCGAGAAATTCACCTCGGCTTCCAGCCGAGAGGTATCTTGAACAAGCAGACCAAGATCCGGCCTCAAATCCTGGGACCTTTTCGGGACCCTCCTGGGACACCCCCCCGAACCCCCTGAACCCCTGAGACCCCTCCCCCGTGAAACCTTGCCATGAGCCTGTTCGAATTTCTTGGGCCTTGGGACGTGGGCTGGACCGGCTGCCGAGGCGGTGCGCGCAAGCGTGTACAACTATGCCAGATCCTGCTTGGGCAGTTGTCAAGACCCTGATCGAATAGTTTCGGGCATGCCAGAGATGAGGGCAACGCAGGAGATTCAAGGCCCTCGTTATATCCACACATTGGCAGGGTTGTGGTCCAGAAACAGAACATTTCCTTGGCAGCAGCCTTTACTTAGCCGAGCCTTTGCCATCCTGAAATGTATGGGTGCAAGCAAGCGTTTTCTGACCCACATTGTAGACAGCCGGTGGGCCATCCAAAATGCCCAGGCAAACCACGCTGAACGTAGGGACAACAAATAGCTTGAACAAAACGCTCCGCACCTCGTGCCTGTCCCACTAGAACTCAAACCGCTCTGCACATCATTCTTTAAGCCGGTCTGTTTCTAGAGGTCACACTCACGCATTGTTTTTCCCCGAGCCCGCGAGCTCCGAGAAAGTAGAAAATCTGTAGTTTTTGTTTTGTTTGTTTGGCGACTCACAAGCAGGCATGATTAGCATAGATTCTTGTTGCAGAAGAACAAGGCAAACAGAAAGTGCTTCACATGAAGACGAAGACAGAGCCTTGGCTGGAGAAAGTTCTCACACACAGGAAGATGGCATCTTTGACCAAAGTGTTGTCAAACACCTGGCAAGAATGCACCGAGCATCAAGGAGCTGCACTGTGCCGCACAAAGCCTCGTCCAAAGTCTCATAGCCTGTCTCAGAGCTGTTCTGCGGCGATATCGGATTCCAACCTAAGAGGAGGCCAGGGTGCAAAAGCATCCGCTCGCTCTCTCTCTCTCTCTCTCTCCCCATTGGAGGGGCCGCCCGAAGGCTTGAGTTACACAGTTGGGTCGATAGAAAGCTCCACGCCGTCACCCGATCCCCCGATCCCCCGATCCCCCAATTCCATGCTCAACTATCCCGCTCTTCTCAAAAGGCCTCGGCTCATTGGCCTGGGTCGGACTGTGCTGTCTCTCTCTCTCTCTCCCTCTCTCGCGCCTTCTGCTGGAAGCGCACTCAAATGTGTACCACAAAGCTCCAGACGCAAGCAGCAAATTCTTCAGCTTTTCTAGGGGGGGGGTGACAGATTCTTATGAGATCAAATCAAACATGATTTGGAGTTGCATCTGGCATTGCCCTCAATCAGCCAGCTCGTCTTTACGATCAAGAATCCTAGGATGATCTTTAGGTCCTTGCGGGTCAAGCGCATCTGGACTGGAGTGCAGTTGAAAGACTGCCTTGCAGAGCGGGAAATCCTGCCAAGCTGACCACAGATGCCACCACCTGCGAACGTGCACCAAAAACTTGCAACAACCAAAGGGCAAGTCAGAGCCACATACTCTTGAACCATTTTGCACCACAAGCGGAAAAGCTGAGCCGGGGAGCGCGCACGGACCTTCTGCACCGATGGCACCCGAATCGGAAAGCAGCGGCTCACAAAGGCCGGGAGGTCCTGAGGAAGGCGAAACCGCGCGGGTGCGAAGCCTGTTGGTCCTTTGAAGACGTTCTCCTGTATGAAACGGGGCTGGCCAGGCTGGAGCTCTGCACTCACCTCGCAGAATTTCACGGAACACTCACGGAACACAATCTGCAGACGTCAGGCAACAACTGAGCCTGTAGGGTACCATCGCTCGTTGCAGCGTCTGCCTGAGTGTCGAGGAAAGCTGCTGCAGTCGCGCAGAAAAATACAGAGTTTCAGGCCAAAACCCATGGCCATCCAGCTTCCACAAACAGGACCTTGCTCGACACGCTCGGCCCTACTTAATCGTTCGTTTGCCGAGTTTCAAGGCTGCAAAAATGCAAGCTCGAAACGGCAAACGGAGCTTCGTATACTACGTTTACGTTGGTACCTGTTAGTACCTTTGTACTTCACTTGCTCCGGTTGCAACATATTGCAACGCTTTCCGGCACTTTCCGGCACTTTGTGATGAAAATCCCTCTTTGTGCGTTCCCTCCAGGTCTCTCCGGCTTCGGTCAGCGGAAGTATCTAAAATGATTCAAAGGATGGAGCGCAGTGCCGACAATACTCCAAAGACTCCACTATGCACTCCACAGTGCTGTGAACGCGCTGAGGTTGCCGGCCAAGGCAAGCAGGCAGGTACCGGCGGGCCTGATGAACATTCAGGCTTTCCAGTGCCTCCATGGCAGTAGCCTGGCTTTTACAGCACAAACTTGTAGGCATTATTACCAGTGGCACAGCATGTGAGCGTTGACTGTATGCTGGTTCGTGCTGTACGGGCCAAAACGACTGATGAACGTTCCTAAAAACACCCTGGGCGATTGCCGAGCTTTTGAGCCACCAGGACGTCAAACTGACTGTAGCATGCTATGGCATGAGAACAGCCGAGCAATCTCGGACCTTCTGAAGACCCTTATCCATAACAAGTTTGTGGTTGCAAGTAGTTGCGGTACACAGCGTTGAACCTGTTGTCTTGAGCTACAGCATGGCAAAACGCCTTCTGCTGCCTTGCTTTACGGAATTGCCACAGACCTTGCGCGAAATCGTTTGCAGATTCTTGCACCTCTCCACCTCTCGATTTTTCACACGGATCTCAGACTTCTGCATTTTCATTTAGCGAACCCAAAAAACAAGATGCTTGGCTTGACATTGCAGAATCTCTGCTTTCCCGAATCGGAGAATCACTGTTCGCCTAGTCCGGTTTGACGTCCTGCAAAAGCACATCAAAGAAGGTTTGCATCTGTGTAGGCCTGTTTTGCAGGGAGAGATTGAAAAGATAAAGCTCTTGAACAGAAAATCAAGGATGCCTAGGAATGCGCGCGCTGCTTGCAAGCAACTGTTTTGGCTCGGCAACAGCGGTGGTTTAGTCCATTTCGGCCAGCTTGCGGCCGCCACTTTTGTCGTTCCCGGTTTTCTCCGCCATTCCAGGGCGATCGAGCCCTTCTGGTACAGAATACTGGACCTCGGGGCATGTTGGGGACATCTGTCGTTTTGTCAGCCCAAAGCCTTAAAACGCATGCCACCCTGCACCTCTCGGCCTTCTGTTCTCCAATTGGAACACCTGACTCAGATCCCCACATCTATGCCACACACTTGCGACGTGTTGCGACGTCTCCGACTTCGGGCCGCTGAAAGTCAGCAATCGGAAGCTCAGACCCGAGGCCCCTGCTTGCAGCAAACGTAGATGATGGCCATCGCATCACTCACAATGGTTTCTGACAGCCGATAAAACACAGCCTCCCCAGCGTGTCAATCTGTGACCAAGGAGTACTGCTGCAGCTCGATGCAAAAAGCCGAAAACCCGTTTTGTTTGTTCGTGTAATGTTATTCCATGCGCGGCATAACCACGATGTGCAAAACGATGAGCGCCAGCCTCATGATGCCCACAAACATGGCAGTCATAGTCGTAGACCTGTCCATTGCTGTTGGAAGCATTTCGCGCTTGTTACTTGATGGTGCTTTGGGCTGACCCGAGGCAACGTGGGATCATGGATTACATCCGGCATGACGATGATGGATTCCTGCACAGCATGCAGCTTGCTGGCATGATCATATGGTCAAACGTACAAGTTTAGGTTGCTTCGCACAACGACCTTGGCCACGAAGAGAACATCATGTCGAAAGACACACAAGTCGTCCATCCGCTTCTTGCTACCTGCTTCATTTGCGTCCTGACCGAGATCGACATGCTTGACTCCGCGACAATACACCATCTACGTTAGATGTACACTGTTTGTGCATCGGACACGTATTGAACCGATGTACATATGCATGAACAAACACTGTGCACAAGGCGATTAAATTTTCCACTCTGCGAAGATCTCTCGCCTGCCCCTCCATGGACACAACCTGGCCAAAACAATCTATACGAGCATGAGCATGTGAGTATAGCTCGACCCACCTCCATGCATTCGCAAACTTTGCAAGTGAAGACAAGTTCCTGCTCAAGCGCACCATGGACTGGCTAACATGAGGCTGGCAATAATGCACAGCGGCTCCATCTTCTCGTTCTTGCCCATCATCCAATTGGAATTGTTGCAACCAGGACCTTGGTGCCCAGCGCAAGCCCTCTGTTTTAAAAGACGTGCCGTAAGAAGCTGGCAGAAACGAAGGGTGGACTTGTAGGAGGACATGGCTGCTGGGATGACGTGTCACTGCGTTGATGTAAGCTGCTCGCCACACGTTTACAAACATGTAGATACACCCCTGCTTCAATACTTGAAAGCCTTGCACCACCACAGGGAAAATTGGCCTGATCACCATGAATGCAAGTTGCCCAAGCGTCAAAATACCACAACGTTGTTCTGTCAAGTTGGCATAGTAAAGTAGTCCGCTGCATAGGCTGTCAACTTCAATGCCGCCTTTGTGCCTCACGGCTGATATTCAACTGGCGCAGAAGTCTCCATCCGGTCGGCCCGGGTTCCCATGTGTTCACAAACAATGCCATCTGCACTAAGCTTGACTGCAGCGAGTTGCCAATCTCAAACTATGACTGCCCAATCTTGCATGCGAAAATAAACAACATCTGCCAAAACTTCAAAAAAGCATTGCATCAAAACTACCCAACGCATCAGATTAAAGATCTGCAACAGCATGCATGGTCACTCTAAATGTGCCCTGCGCAACATCCAGGAACTTAAGCGAGCATGATGTGTTTTTTATTTGCATCTCTCCTCTTCCTCTCCTCCCCTCTCCTCCCCTAGCCTCGCCTCGCCTCGCCTCGCCTCTCCTCTTCTCGACCCTCCTCTCCTCTCCTCTCCCCTCCTCTCCTCTCCTCATCTTATCTCTCTTTTTCATCTCTCCTCTCTCTGGCTCATTCATTTTTGTCTCTCTCTCGCTCTCTCTGGCTCTCTCTCTCTCTCTCGCTCTCTCTCTCTCTTTCTCCATCTAGCTCTCTCCCATTCTCGCTCTCACTTTCTCGTTCTCTGCCTCTCTCTCTCTCTCTCTCTCTCTCCTGCTCTCTTCTTCTCTCTCACTCATCACTCACTCACTCACTGGGTTTGGTGCATTTACGAAAATACACGTTTGAATTTAAACAAGCAAACCCCCACCCCACCACCTCACTGAATCGCGAACAACAGCATTCCTGCATCACCTGTGGTGCAGGGTTTTTGACAAGACCAGTGCAGGACCTGGACGAGCTGAACTGTGACATCGTCTGTGCAACAACAACAACAACAATGGATGATGCAACAACAGCCCTCCGCCGCCTCAAACAACATGACCAGTTCATCGTTTTGGGGCTTCGCCGGTGCACCCCTTTGATCGATGTTTCGGGGTTGCTACCCGAGCCCACCCAAGCCTCCACCTGGGAAAAGATGTTTAAAGAGTTTGCTCAGTCAGACGAGCGGTTGCCGAGTTTGCTGACCATTGACTTTTCGTCATGGAAGGATTGCATTTCCAAAGCTCTGGACTTCTTGACATGGATGGAGTTGATAAGTTGTGTTGGATTGGGTTCTGAAGAGCTGGTGCATGCGTGAAGGCCCAGAATGAGTTAAGACTTGGGCAGGATCAGCTCACTGTTGAGTAATAGAAGCGGTCCACACGATTGATGCACATTCTGCGACATTGCAAGTCACAATTGCAGACATGTGTTGAAAGTGAGAGCACTTGGATTTTTGCCTAACGGCAAAATGGGGGTGCGAAGCACTCTCCCGCTATGTCTGTAGCCTCCGAGAAAAAATTGTGCAAGAAGCAGAACAGAACAGACCTTACAGTTGCAGAATCCATCAGTTGCAAAATCCATGAAGCTCGACGTCTCAGCTGCAGTATAACAAAGTAAACCAAAACCTCTGGTCTCTAGAAGCCGCCAGCGTCAAGCGTCAAACGATTCACAAATATATAGAAGCCGCAAGGGTCAAACGATTCACAACACTATAGAACCACAAATATTCAGAAAACATACAAAAGCAAAATCAGAGACAAACAAAGAGCCAGAAGAGGTCAGGAAAAAATACAAAAATACCGCAAACCAAATCAAAAACAGTTTTGCGCTCAAAAAATATTTCAACAATGCTACTGCTACACTGCTACTGCTACACTGCTACTGCTACACTGCTACTGCTACACTGCTACTGCTTCACTGCTACTGCTACACTGCTACTGCTACACTGCTACTGCTACACTGCTACTGCTACACTGCTACTGCTACACTGCTACTGCTACACTGCTACTGCTACACTGCTACTGCTACACTGCTACTGCTACACTGCTACTGCTACACTGCTACTGCTACTGCTATTCATTCCAATCGCACGTCTGGTGCAGACATTAAGCGAAAGTATGGGTAGGCCGTAAGGCAAGGAACCTCCGTCACCTAAACTGCCCAACGCGTCCGTGGGGACAGTCCCCACACAAGCGCCTGGGCCGCAGCAGTAGCATAGCACTCAGTACACCCTCTGGCAGTTAGGTTGACAACTGTGTGAATGCACAGAGAGTTGAGACCAAAGACTTGTTTTGCCACACAGTAGCAGGATAGCCCTCGCAGCACGCGGATGCGTGCTATGAGGGCAGAAACCTCACTGCGTTGCTCGACCTGCAGGGTCCGTGTTATGCAAGTGACGCAGTTTAAGATCCATGTAACTTAACTGCCCCGCGCAGCGGCCGGTTTTCACTATCACACACAGACCATTACACAGCGGGCCCTTTACAGATAGGGTAGATAGTTGAGATAGGGAGTCTGTTTTAAGTGAGTTATAAGTCACTTAGGGAGGGTCTAAGTCGTTTCTATCTTTTTCTGGAGATACTATCATCGCTGAATGATAGGAAAAGATAAACGAGATAGAACAGACTTAGAAAAGATAGGTGCGGCAAAGTGCGGCAAAGAGGCATCAGCCGCCGGGAGATAAAAAAAGATAAAAAAATAACTATAAAAAAAAGATAAAAAAAATTTAAAAAAAAAAAAGATAGTTTGAGTCGATTTTGGGATAAAAAGGTCATATTGCACGTTTCGTTTAGGGCATCAAAGAATGTACGGTGTACACAGCTAACATGAAGCAAACCCGGAAAAATCCCTTGCTTAGGCTCACCCTTTTGCCCCAGAAGCAAGTCCGGAAAGAGCCCTTGCTCAGGCCCGCCGGACTTGCTTTTGGGGCCGGAGTGGGAGCCCATAAGCAAGGGATCTTTCCGGACTTGTTTCTGGGGCCGAAGGACGAGTTTAAGCAAGGGATCTTTCCGGGCTTCCTGTTGGGGCCGGAGGGGGCCTAAGCAACGGATCTACTTTCCGGACTTGCTCCTGGGCCCGGAGGGGGGGCCTAAGCAAGGGATCTTGCCTCCCTCACACTACGGGCTCCGTAGCCTCAAAAATGCATGTCGTAGCCTGCAGCTCAAGCTGAAACCATCTTTGCTTGCCCGCGCCTCACGGACCTCCACCGTCCTTGCTCTCAGCACGGCCACAGCCAGCGCCCACTTCGAGGACAGCTTGCGGCGAATCTTTCCTCCACTCACAGGCCCTCCCTCAACCCCCCCCCCCACCCTTATCGAACAAACCCGAGGTTCCGCCTAAGTATTCGTCCTGTCAGTGGGTGAGTTGGAAACCAAAGTGCAAACAAGCACCCGGAGTAAAAGGCAAATCGCTAAGGTTCGTGCTAAAGGGCACGTGTCGCCCCTGCAGCTCCAGGCGAAAACTGGAAGTTCTCATGTCATGCCCGGTGCGATGCCATATGTCATCAGCAATCGCAAACTTGATGTCGTCGACTGTTCCTGTAGCCGCCACTCTACAGAGCACAGCTTCCACAACCGGAACATTGGTGACCATCACTGCCAACCATTGGGCCCTGGATTCACGGTTCGTGCCCTCATCAAGGTTCGCAGCTTCAGCATCCCGCTTCATACTCAACGTCAAACAGGGTGACTCGCCGAAATTAGCTAGCACAGACAGTGGACGGTGAACAACATCAGACAGTTTGAGCCCGCAGCCAGCCGAAGGTGGAGCACTTGGGGAGCTGACACAGGCTTCACTGTCACTGACACAACACAACTGCAACACACATGAATGTGCCAAAAACATCTTTTGCACTCATGGTCGTTGTCAAGCGGGCCTAAACGTCAGGAAGGAGTCTGACTACTGCGGGTCAAGGAACTCCCAAGACTGGTCACGAGACGAAGAACTCGGACGTTGCTCACTCGGCTGGGCTTCTTGCTGCGTAGAGGACGAGCTCGCAGCTGCTGAAAGGGAAACATTCAGCCGGCCTGCAACCGCTCACGGATCTCTACTTCTCTATCTGCCAAGACGTCCTCGATGCGTTCAGCCAGCATGATGATCTGGTCCATACTCAATGTACGAACCCAAATCTCGAAGGCTCTCATCTGCAGGGCAGTGATCCTAGGAGGCGCGTCCATTGCAGCACAGTCAACACTAAGCTTGGGCCACCGCGCTGCAAGCCCGGGATGAGAAAGTCAGTCATATGACGGGCTGTCCTTCCGCAACAGCATCACTCCTTCACTGCCGGGTGGGTGGGCGGGGCTTTTTAATCTGCTCATCTGACTCTCAGTGCCCTCGCGGGCTGAGCCAAAATTTCTCACGCATTCCATGGTGAAAAATTTTATCTCAAAATAAAGGTTTGTACTCAAGAGTACCAAGCCCTTATTTTGTTCTCAAATTCATCCCAGAAATATATCTTCATCTTCTCGAATAGTCATTGCCCCTGAGTCACTCCATTCGAGCCCTTTTTCCGAGGAAGGGTACAGAATCGATCACCTGTCCAATATGCAGGTCTTCTGTCTCACTGGGTGCGAAAACACGAAAAACACCTCCTAGGTAAGGGGAGAAAAGAAGACAGAAGTCCCTTCCTCGGTCAAGTAGTCTGGGCAACAAAGCGACGTGCCTGCCGTAACACCTCACGCAATGCTTTCACAACAACATCGTCGTTGATCCTGCAGGGGTTGGGAAGACCCAAGAAGCAGCAGCGACTTGGCGCGTCAGCTATGTTGCTGCGCGACGGTACACGTGCATACCATGGGATACAGGACAGCTCGGCCTCATGGACAGCTGAGATCTTGGCCACTGCATCAAGCATGGCGTTCTCACTTTGCATCCGAAGCAATGTCACTCTGGCTGCCTCATTATCGAGATAGAATACCACATGCCGCTGTAGCAGTATGGCCGCGCAGAGACGAACAGTCAATGCCACAG